ACCTAAGCCTTTACTGCAATTAGATGGGTTGCTCCCAGAAAAAGCAATTTACTATAAAATAAATCCAAGATACTCCAGCCAAGTTCTAATAAAAGTGAGAGCAGATCAGCCACAAGGGTAAACTCCATGCTCCACCTTTAGATCCCAAGATTTATGAAGTTCAGTTCACTAAAATAGGTTTCAAGGTGTACACTGAAGTCTCACACTTTCTCATTGCTACCTGTCAAATGACAACCTATTTACAGATATCACCCTTAGCCGATCATAACAGTTGTCACAATAGAGTATTGTGTTGCAAAAACAAAAACAAACCAGATAAAGGAGATAAAATTCCTACCCAGTCCAAAAGCATCAGGAAAACTCACATTGCATTGGAAGCGGATGACAGTCCAAAGAGGCACATGAGGGGGTGGGGCTTATGGCTTTGCTTTACATGTGAAAACCCATGGCCTCCAACCATGGGGATTATGTAAAAATATCTTTCCTGGCAATGTCTTTGCTGCTCTTGTCAAAATACCAAAAACCTCCAGAAATAGTGTAGTTTGTTAAAATACCAGACTTGCTGAATAAAATTCAAGGATTTATATTTTCCACAAAAAGTCTTCATTTGATCAACTAGAAATCTATTTTGACAACCTGATTTGATACAGATCCTGCTGTGCAGCTTTCCTTCAGGAACACCCCGACATACTATGTTTCTTTTGAATTGAGAAAAAGGGATAGAGAAAGTGGAATATGTGCAATAATCCAAATCTTCAAAGAATTTTGACTGTCAACAAATCAAAGCCTTTGAATCATACTACCGATTACTATGGGAACATTTTGACTGTCTTGCACTTCATTTGGATCAGATGTCAACGTTAACAGAATTTAATGAAAGAGAAAGGATTAACGACAGAGAAAGGATTAATGAGAAAGATAAAGAGAATTCTCTCAGAACTGAGTGCAAGAGCATTTCCGCTCTTTGATATCATGATTCTGCATTTATATCAGATATAAAAATGTTTTTGTAGCTTAATAAAGTATAGCTGCTCTTCATCAAAAATAACTCTTAGTATCTAGAATGATTTATGGTAGGAAAGGGTGAATGGATGTACCAAGCTATTTTTATCTTGAAAGGGCAAACTTTAATTTCAGACATTTGGTATGGACTTCTACATTTCCTGTATAAGACAACTAGCATATTTATCTGGATTTGAGAAGAGGGAAGTAACATACCTGGCACTAGAAATGTGTTTCAAATCATTCTCCAGAAATCATTCAAGGTTATATAGATGTGCTTATTGCTGCCCTGCTAAAAATAAACTGTTGCTTTCATTTTTATTATTTATTTTTGGTATATAGAAGAGAGCAATGTTCCTCCTAAGGATCTAGCACTGCTTGAGTGATACTGCAATATTCTGCAATAACTGGCAAAGAAAGTTCTGTGTAAAAGGTAAAAAATACCACCATTTTCCCCAAAAATCCTGCCTACCTGTCTCCCATGTATGGGGGGGGGGTCATACTGTATGTTTTTGTTTTGTCTCAATTTGTTGAATGAGTATCTGTGACAGTGAAACACATTATAATCTATCTCCACAAAATTGTTCTTCTTTTTGTAGTTATTGAGGTATCAAGTAGAATCACAGAAAACACAAATTGTTGCCTGCAACTATTTTGAATTAGAATAAGATCACAAGATTCCTATCTGCTATTACTATCAGCAGCAAATGGGCCAATGTAAATAATACTGCAGCACCAGCAGTCCAGAATAACACCTTATGAAGCAACACCAAAGAGTCTTGCTGTGGATAGAAAAAGAATGAAAGCCAAAGCTGCCAGGAAGGTGGGATATCCAGTCCCATTATAAGCTAAACAGTATATTTGGAAGAGATCAGGTGGGGGATAGATTGACCCAAGAAAGACAGGTTTCCAGTACCAGGCCAGGTCACCAAATGCTTTTCGAGAGACTGAAGAATTGTCAAGGGGGTCTGGATACTATCCACTAGTTTATTAATGACATAAAACATGCATAAAACATGTTTTCATTACCCAGTCTCACTTCCATGTGGTGTGACACTACAATGATGTTCTAGGAAGACAATACCAAGAAAATAAATGTGTGAAATGAATTGACAAAATTGATCAGACAACCACAGATTTTTAAAAGCTGTTTTCGTTTGTGAAAAACAGCAAATATTATACTCAAAAGAAAAGGAAAAACCTAGAGTCACCTGTCTGAAACTGGATTGTGCTAATTCCTCTTTAAGAGCCTACCATGTCTACACATTTTATGTAGATGCTAGAAAAAAGTAGTGACTTTTTGTTTCTCAATCCTCCCCTTTCTCAATTATGAGAGAATGCCAATACAGTTTCCCAAATCTAGATTTTGATTTTGGGATCTATAACTGAACTGAATGAGTCCAGATCATTCTAATCTGAATCAGGCTGAAATCTTAACCACTAAATTAGATTCTCTACCAATTAGGAGGTTTAGTGCACAGCCCTATTGAAAAATTGAGGAAAGTATTTATCTTCCAATAGTTTAAACAACAACGTGAGGCTTTATGCAGAGCAAAGTCCACCTAAGAGTGTCAGAAGACATTCTTCCTGATGTCGCCATTTACCTGGGAATTTGAAGATAGCCCAGAAGCAGATCTAAGTTTTATGGCAACAGAGATATAAAGTATTCCTTTAATAAGCCATGCTGATACAATGCCACTTATCTTAAAATAAGACAAATCACAATCTTAGCTATTCAAGAGATATGAGTGAATTGGAGAATATGTAAAGCAGATCACAAAAGTTTGTTTTACTTTCAGAATAGTTCATGGTAGAAAAAGAACTTAAGATACAAAGACTATAATCCTGGAAAACTTTTGTAGAAAGCTTGATGATTTATTTATTTATTTATTGCATTTATATCCTGCCCTTCTCAACCCTGAAGGGGACTCAGGAAGGGTTATCGGCATAGGTGTCACAGATGGAATAAGAAACTACAAGTGGAAAGTCTCAACTGGATACTAAATTATGGTCTTTTTTTCCATTCCATAAATAGAAATCCAAAGTAGCTCATTGTTGGAGCATGCAAAGAATTGGTGAGTGTGTGTGTGTTTGTGTGTGCAAAAAGATGCATGAAGCTGATTGGTCGGGCAATGCATGGGGTGATGTCTGAGCCTAGAACTTTGATACTGTTGCATTTTACAGGCTTGAGCTTGCAGGTGTTCAGAGAGAAGTCAGTTGGAAGAGAGAAGGAGAGATACAAACTGATTTGCTTCTTGGCTGCTATAAAGAAGATCTCTCATATGGACAAAGAAGTACCAATTTAAATCTTTCTAAAAAGACATGTAGTGAGTTGATGCAACTGATCATATTGTACACATGTTGTTCTGAATTAAGACGAGTAAACTACTTGTTCTTTACTGTTCACGTGTGTGGCATATTTTCTTTCCTTGGCTGATCCAATGTGAACAACACATGGTTTATTTTACATTTTGCCACACACATTGTCAATATGTGAGATCATCCGGAGTTTCGGAGTGCGATGTCACCTGTACGCAGATGATGTCCAACTCTGTCACTCCTTCCCACCTGCTACTAAGGAGGCTGTCGAAGTCCTGAACCGGTGCTTGGCCGCTGTGACGGTCTGGATGGGGGCGAACAAATTGAAATTGAATCCAGACAAGACAGAGGTGCTCCTGGTCAGTCGTAAGGCCGAACAGGGTATAGGGTTACAGCCTGTGTTAGACGGGGTCACACTCCCCCTGAAGACACAGTTTGGGTGTGATCCTGGACTCATCGCTGAGCCTGGAGCCCCAGGTTTCGGCGGTGACCAGGGGAGCATTCGCACAGTTAAAACTTGTGCGCCAACTGCGACCGTACCTTGGGAAGCCTGACTTGGCCACGGTAGTCCACGCTCTGGTTACATCCCGTCTTGACTACTGCAACGCTCTCTACGTGGGGTTGCCCTTGAAGACGGCTCGGAAGCTCCAATTAGTCCAACGGGCGGCAGCCATGATACTAACGGGAGCGGAGCGCAGGGAGCATACAACTCCTCTGCTGCACCAGCTCCACTGGCTGCCGATCTGCTACCGGGCCCAATTCAAGGTGCTGGCATTGGCCTTTAAAGCCCTAAACGGTTCTGGCCCAACTTACCTATCCGAACGCATCTCGGCCTATCAGCCCACCAGGACCCTAAGATCTTCTGGGGAGGCTCTGCTCTCCATCCCGCCTGCTTCACAGGTGCGGCTTGCGGGAACGAGAGACAGGGCCTTTTCTGTGGTGGCCCCTCGGCTTTGGAACGCCCTCCCTATAGAGGTAAGATCAGCCCCCTCGCTGATGGTGTTTCGGAAAAGATTGAAGACATGGATGTTCAAACAAGCATTCGGTTAATCCGGTGCAAAGAAATTGATGATTAAGGACTGGTAATCATGGACGATGAAATTGGACTACGATTCTAGTTAAGAGATGCATTGGATTGTATTGGTGGCCCAATACTATGTATTGTATGTTGTTTTTATGCTTTTTAAACTGAATATTGTTGATTGTTTGTAGAGTTGTAAACCGCGTTGAGTCGCCAATTTTGGCTGAGAAACGGCGGTATACAAGCGCAGTAATAAATAAATAAATAAATACTGAGTCTCATATAAAGCAGATATACTTAAGGATTTCTTAAGCATTTGTGCACTGACAAAATACTATAGTTGAGCTCAGATATTCAAGAAGAAAATAATATAAATATATTAATTCTTAATTATTTGAACTGCATATGATATTTGACAACTTTATAAAGAACATCAAAATTGATAAATTTGTTGAAAAATATAATTGCCTTTCTCACAGTACAACAATTATTTCAAAATAGCAAATAAACCAAAGGTATATCATAGAGTCATGGAATCATAAAAACCCAAAGATGAATGCTTATTTACAGATTATCACTGTGAAGAAACAGTAATATATGAAGAAACAACATCTAGATCAGTCAATTCAGAACTGCATTAAAGCATGCATAAACTTACTTGAAAACTGAATGGCAAATCCAGATTTGCTGATATAGAAGTCTGTGTCAAATTGAATTGTAACTATGTTGAGAGTGCTGTGGATGCCTTCTGGAATAAGGGAGCCACTGATTTCTTTTAACAGCATGTCATTTTCAGGTGGACCATCCCAGACACGGAGAATATCATGTGATGCTTCAGTATCAAATGCAAGGAACTGGAGGCTGTTAATGACAGCACTGAATTATCATGTCACAGGACCTCTAATTACCACAGAAATAACTGTAACTATGCTCAGAATAACATCTATAATCTTAACATTTGATAAACAAGCTCTGTAAACATGGGGGCAATGTTTTAAGGAGTCAGGCTTGGTCATAATGTCATTAATCACATAGAAGAATATACACATAAATACGCATAAATCAAAGTAATTTGTTAAAAGCAATGAGTTATTACTTTCAATTTATGGCAACCCAATTAATTTGACAGGATTTTCTTAAACAAGGATACTCCAATGTGTTTGGTAAGGGCTTTCTGCTGAGATATATACAAGGGCTCCTAATGCAATGAAGCAACAAAAGCCAATTAAAGCAATACAAAAAAATTTGAATTCTTTTTTGAAATACTCTTTAATATACTTTAAAACAACCCTAGAATCTAGCTTTGAAATGGTTGGAACAGCAATTTCAAATATTGAATATTGTGCAGAAAAGTGCTGTTTTGGCTGCCCACTGCATTTTAAAGAGTTTGACCAGCCTAACTTCCTTGAACAGGGAATTCCAGTCGCTATACTGCTGCAGAGAAAGTCCTATTACAACTATTCAGCAACCTAACTTCATGAGGTATTGGGCTAGGATAGAGGATCTCCTCTAAAGATCTCAGATATCTTACAGGTTCATGTGAGGTGGAGTTAGCTTTTCAGGTACCTTGGCTCCAAGTTCTTAACGGCTTTGTAGATCAACAGAATTACTCTGAATTGAGCTCAGAAGCTAATTGGAAGCCAGTAGAGTTCCTGCAAAATGAGTGTTTTGCATTTGCTGCAGATTCCAGTTTTCAAAGCAGCCCCTGTTAGAAAGGTCTGTTTTCACCAACAAACAAAACTGGGTAAAGGGCATCCTGACCATTTCAGCAATCTGGTTTTCCTGAAGAAGTATGGGTGCAAGAGCACCTCCAAAATGCAAAACTGATCTTTCAGAGGAAGAGCATTGCCATCTAGAATAGGATGTAGTCCTAATCCCAAGTTGGTTTTTCTATTGACTAATGACCAGTAATGTCTTGTCTGGATTATGCCTCAGTCTATTCTAAAATTGACAGGCGCTTTGAGAGTGAAAATTTTGAAAAAGCTTATTAGCCTCATTTCTTTTCTTTTACAAAAAAGGCAAAATGGAGAAAGTTGTATTGTGTTTGTTAGATGTTTGTCATGATTTGGAAGTTTAAGATTTGCAGCAATCTAGTTTATTCATGTTGCCTGCCTATAAAATTTAGAACTTTGCACAATTAGGATTTTAAATGGCTCAAGGAGCCTATATGAAAATGACCAGTTTTCTGTTGCAATTCTAACCTTCCAATATGTAGAAGTCAGAGGGAAAAAGGTGGTAAATCCTGAAAAAAATGAGCCCCCAAACTCTCCAATGCTGTTCTAATCCAATGAGGATTTTAGTGACTGAACAAGATTAATTTCATTTCATTTTGCTCCAGTATCCTCTGGATAATTCAATTGTCTTAGAGACAAAGCCACTTGCAAACAGTATTATTAACCTTGAGCTTTTCTGAGCCCATGAGCTAGAGCAGAAATGAAGGCAAATGCATAAATAAGTAAATGCTGAGATGCCATTGCCTAAGACAAATAGTCTATTCATGTTTCTCTGTGCTTCAACAAGTGCATACATCTATTGTAAAATATTGAATAGCTTGGCTTGTGATGATTTGCAAATATTACACTGAAATCCTATATATTTCTACTCATAGCTATGCCCTATTAGGTTTAATGCCAGCTTCTCCCCTGTGGGAGTATAGGACTTTAGATTTAAATCTTATAAACTGCACTCAGAATGCCAATGATATTATTAGTTACCACAAAATACAGATCTCTTGTTTTGGGGCTTTGGCCCTTGCACAAGTGAAGATCGCACTGGAGTACCTGACAATATTTCCTGGATCAACTTCAATCATCCACATACACCTCAGATTATTGTCATAAGGAAAAGGATAGCCTGGAGATAAGATTCTTCCTGAGGATTCTCCTTTAAAGCGTCCCCCACATTCAGCTGGTGAAAATAAAGTGGAAATGGAAGTTATTTCTGATAAAGTTTTCATTAAGATTCCTTTGCCACCTGTGTTTATGGCAATTATGACCTTTTCATGTATTAATCTGTCTCACAAATAAAGACCCTGAAGATTGTACTTTACATACAAGGCCACAATGGGGCCCACCCATCTCCCCATCGCTCCCTCCTTTGGGAAAAGAGCTTCTCTTTCCACTCCACTCCAACCTCACCATCTTTTTCAGGGCCCTTTGGAGGAACCAAACTCACCCTTTGGGGAAAAAAGTGGTGGCTGTTACTGAGACCTGGAGTAACTTACAAAGCTTATATAACTCTTCTGAAAAGTCATAGTTCAGTGTTTTAAAACTTAAGTTTTTTTTGCATGGGCACTGCCCACATTTCTTAATATTCTGTCCCAAGTATCTATCTTATGAAATACATCCAACATACGAGGTAGAAATGACATTTTGCACAACTCTAATACCTATGTATACACTTAAAGCATACAAAATAAAGTGCAGATGAACAATGTTGGTGGCTGCAGAATGTAATTCACAGTCATGTTATGCAATTTTTAATTTAAGTGCTCAAAATATAATTAAACAGATACAAACAGAGAGCCCAACATGATCAGGTGGTTTGGGTAAAAATCACTTTTCACCTTTGAAAATGTTTATATACATGTGTGTTTGTATGTGTAAATATGTATATACTTTAATTGTCTTACCTACATATCACCTCACAATGAAATGATCAATTATTGAATGGAAATTTTACTATAAAAATAATAAATCCACAGTAGCTACTGTATATATAAATGTATTTTCTGTTACAAACCTGAGATAGAAATCTAAAACAATTTTATCAAAAAAAAAAACAAGTAAATCAGTAGCAGAATGCATGTGTCTCATGAATTAAGACTGATCTTATTTTTAGCTGTCAATGCTATAATACCAACAGAGTTTTCTAATAAAATAGCAAAAATTGTAAGATATGTGATAAGGCATCTGGAAGAGAGAGATGTTTAGCACCTTTCCAGTCAGTCCGAGGACAAGAAGCCAGGTAAGTAAAAGTTGATGGCTGGGGTTAGATTGGATGGCCCTTGAGCTCTCTCTCAAATCTATGATTCTGCCAAGTCTGCTGCCTCTTTTCTATGCAATCTACTTTGAGGACTTGCTCATTTTTTTTCTATTATACGGAAATGCCCTGATGCATAGCCCCTTTTTTTCTGAAGAGTGTCATCACTGCAAAAAGATGAAGAATCATGTCATATCCTAAATGATCATGACTATAATTGCCCCGGTTTCTATTTCTGCTTTACTGTCACTGTGATATAATAACCAGAATGCGGTAAGAAAGTTTCTGCTGTATTCAGACATGGAGCCCATTAGATTACCTTGGATGATTCACAATTAGTCACCCTAATCTAGACACCAAAAAGATAGATAAATTAAAAGGTAAGATCATATATATATTCTGTTCTAAACTGTAAATGGTGATGAGAGAAATGTAGGAGTGGTTAAACGAATGAATGAATAAATACATGCATTTATTTGAGCACTTTGGAGGATGGGCAAAAGAGGAATTAAAAGTAATACCATTTACTATGTACTTTATATGACAGAAGGCTTTTTCAAAAACTAAAAAAAAAAATCTCCTACCGATACAAGATGGAAGAGGATAGTCCCATGCCCGTCTTTCTCCTGTCATGCACTTCAAGAGGCTACTTCCATGCAAAGTGTAACCAGGGTTGCATCCATAAATGATGGTACTGCCAGCAAAGTGTCCTTGGTCACTTATCTTGTACCCAAACTGTGGCACACCTGGATCCTCGCAATGAGAAAGTTCAAAACCTGTGGAAGAAACAAAGGCCACCTGTATTATCAGGTTAGAAATTGTGTTTGATAGAAATACTTTCCTTCTGTGTGATTTAAGGATCACATATTGTACAGAGTACAAAGTGAACATTTTACTTCAGTCTCATCATATGGACCAGAGTGGATCTAGCCATTTTTGACCTATTCTCCCTTTTCCCATTAAATACTTACTAGTATAAACAAGTTGGAAACCTTCATCTGTTCCCTCCGAATCAGAATTAAACTCAAGCCAAATATGATTTGAAGTACTGCTTAGTGTCAATCCTCGGAGTGAAGCTCCAGTAAATGCTCCCAGCATGTGTGCTGTATTATCCTTCCCATCATATATCTGTAAAACAAATTGCCCCTTGATAATTTAAATAGTCATAATGGAGAAATGCAAAGTAAGCTCTACCTTTCAATAATGAGACAGATCAGGATTTCTGCATTTCCTTTTATAGGTTTACACAAGTGAGTCTATAAGCACAAACCTTTTTCCTTTGAAAAAGGAAACCCTACATAGAAATAGCTGGAGAAGATGTATTGTCGAAGGCTTTCATGGCTGGAATCACTAGGTTCTTGTGGGTTTTTTCGGGCTATAGGCCATGTTCTAGAGGCATTTCTCCTGACGTTTCGCCTGCATATATGGCAAGCATCCTCAGAGGTAGTGAGGTCTGTTGGAATTAGGACAATGGGTTTATATATCTGTGGAATGGCTGGGGTGGGGCAAGGAGCTCTTCCCTGCTGCAGTTAGGTGTGAATGTTTCAGCTGATCACCCTCATTAGCATTAGCATTTGAAGGCCTGCCTTCAACAGACCTCACTACCTCTGAGGATGCTTGCCATAGATGCAGGCGAAACGTCAGGAGAAATGCCTCTAGAACATGGCTCTATAGCCCGAAAAAACCCACAAGAACCTAGCTGGAGAAGACTTTTCATTTCAGCATAAGTTTTAAAATATATGTGTTCAGTTCCCCACTGCCAATGTTTTAATGGTATTATCCTAACATAATAAGCAATCTTTTTTTTTATCCGTATACAAGTGACAAATGAGAAAAGGATTGGTGGGATGGCAATGAGAATTTTTTCTATGTCCTTTCCCAAGGAGTTATTTTGCTATTATGTATTCTTGATTTTATTTATTGATTGATTGATTGATTGATTGATTGATTGATTGGTATCTGGCCATGAGAAAAACAGGTGTCAGGTTTTTGTTTTTTGTTTTTTGTTTTTTGTTTTTAAAAAAAAAAGCCCTAAGAACTACAGCTGAAAATAGAGCATCCAACAAACACATTTCCTCTCTCTGTTTTGCCCTTAACTATAATCAGTTGGAGGGATGATGTAATCTGTATGTAAATAGTTGATAACATTTATTCATTTCATCCCCAGCTCCCTAAACAGCCCCTAATACCTTTGAAATGTAACTGAGATGGAGGAAATATTTCAAACACATTCTGTGTTTATTTTTTAGTAGTGAACCAGTTTCAAAGCCATTTATCAAAAGGAGCATTTAATTTTTCTAGAATGGAATTGCAGATATATTATTGGTAAATGCTGTAAAAGATATAAATGTTTAGAATATATAAATAATTTGTACTTGACTCTGTTATACTTTCACTCTTAGTTTTTAAGGTTACTTTTTCTGATGAAAAGCTTTGACATTAACAGGTGTGGTACTTTAGCACCAGCCTTAAGAGAACATATATGTCCAGAGCACATCTATAAGTTCAGTAAAGCTATTGAGAAAACACAATCTAGCCTCTTTGGAAGTTCTTTTCAGGTTCTGCTGCTATGTCTACTTGAAATACAATAAAATTTACAACCCACAAAATAGCAATACATTTATTGGGTGGCACAAAATACAACATGTAAGCTTTTGAATTTCTTCACCAGGCAAAGATGTTTACAATCATACAAGAGAAGAAACATAATGATGTTCAAGTCACAGGCCTACCTTTTGTCTCAGATACTACTTCTGTTGTCAGTTAGAATAGTATTGAGGACTATGTTTAGTATTCTCCCGAACACATTTTGATACACACACAGTTAAATAAATACATAAAGCAATGGCACATATATTGTGTGTACAATCTAATTCAATACAAGTAAATTCCGAGCCATTCTGGGCAAAAGCTACCAACAATATCAAGATGACATACAAAATAGTACAACTGTGAACAGTCCTTCAGCCACTAAAAATAGATACTAACTACACCACACTGAATGAAGGTCACTAGAAGGTTCTCTAGAAATATATATAACTTTCTTTTCTTTTGTGAAGAACAGCAGTATCATTTTCTTCTTCCTTGTGAAACAGGAGATGCAAAGTATGTTTATGTTAAATCAATACACCATGAAACAACCTAATTTACAGAAATGATGCTTTCAGAATGGCTTCCCTATGAATTTTCAGAATATATACAGGTGAATAGATTCTATGTTAGAACTAAATTAACTCAGGCTGAATCTACACTGCCACATAATCCAGTTTCCGAATCCAGATTATGTGCTTTGAACTGGTTTATATGACCGCCATATAATCAGTTCAAAGCAGATATTCTGGATTCAAAGACTGGATTATATGGCAGCGCAGATGGGGTCTCATACTATGTGAGTATTATTCACACTCTTAATCAGCTGCATTTATTGTATCATATGTACACCAACAGAAAATTGTACTAATAAATGTAGTGTGAACTACATTCAGATTTGATTATCTAAAATGAAGAGAAAGTTAGAATAAAAGTAAGAGTTATAAAAGAAAGCAGTGCTTTCTGTACAGACTGCTAAAAGAAATATAACTCACTGCACTACTTTATTGCAGGCACCACTTTTATCTCTACATATCTGATGGTCCATTCTATCCACTGGAAAATATATACTGTCCATCTGAACTTTGTTTCTGCCAAGATCTGATCTATACTTTTCCCATCATAGCGCTACCTTTTTAAAATAATGGTAGGTTTATAAGGCACTGGCAAACCACTTTTGAATGTCTTTTGCTGTGAAAATCCCATAATGATATGACAGTACAACATGAAGCAAAAGAAAGCATGACAAGATAAACCTCCAAAACTAAAAGGCATTCAATCAGTTATTGTGAAAATGCTGAATCATAGAATCATAGAATCATAGAATCAAAGAGTTGGAAGAGACCTCATGGGCCATCCAGTCCAACCCCCTGCCAAGAAGCAGGAATATTGCATTCAAATCACCCCGGACAGATGGCCATCCAGCCTCTGTTTAAAAGCTTCCAAAGAAGGAGCCTCCACCACACTCCGGGCAGAGAGTTCCACTGCTGAACGGCTCTCACAGTCAGGAAGTTCTTCCTCATGTTCAGATGGAATCTCCTCTCTTGTAGTTTGAAGCCATTGTTCCGCGTCCTAGTCTCCAGGGAAGCAGAAAACAAGCTTGCTCCCTACCTCCCTGTAGCTTCCTCTCACATATTTATACATGGCTATCATATCTCCTCTCAGCCTTCTCTTCTTCAGGCTAAACATGCCCAGCCCGTTAAGCCGCTCCTCATAGGGCTTGTTCTCCAGACCCTTGATCATTTTAGTCGCCTCCTCTGGACACATTCCAGCTTGTCAATATCTCTCTTGAATTGTGGTGCCCAGAATTGGACACAATATTCCAGGTGTGGTCTAACCAAAGCAGAAGAGAGGGGTAGCATTACTTCCTTAGATCTAGACACTATGCTCCTATTGATGCAGGCCAAAATCCCATTGGCTTTTTTTGCCGCCACATCACATTGTTGGCTCATGTTTAACTTGTTGTCCACGAGGACTCCAAGATCTTTTTCACACGTACTGCTCTCGAGCCAGGCATCGTCCCCCATTCTGTATCTTTGCATTTCATTTTTTCTGCCAAAGTGGAGTATCTTGCATTTGTCACTGTTGAACTTCATTTTGTTAGTTTTGGCCCATCTCTCTAATCTGTCAAGATCGTTTTGAATTCTGCTCCTGTCCTCTGGACTATTGGCTATCCCTCCCAATTTGGTGTCGTCTGCAAACTTGATGATCATGCCTTCTAGCCCTTCATCTAAGTCATTAATAAAGATGTTGAACAGGACCGGGCCCAGGACGGAACCCTGAGGCACTCCACTTGTCACTTCTTTCCAAGATGAAGAGGAAGCACTAGTGAGCACTCTCTGTGTTCGTCCACTTAACCAATTACAGATCCACCTCACCGTAGTTTTGCCTAGCCCACATTGGACTAGTTTCCTTGCCAGAAGGTCATGGGGGACCTTGTCGAAGGCCTTACTGAAATCAGGTACGCTACATCCACGGCATTCCCCGCATCTACCCAGCTTGTAGCTCTATCGAAGAAAAGATCAGATTAGTCTGGCATGACTTGTTTTTGATAAATCCATGTTGACTATTAGCGATGACTGCATTTGTTTCTAAGTGTTTGCAGACCGCTTCCTTAACAATCTTTTCCAGAATCTTGCCCGGTATCGACGTGAGGCTGACCGGACGTTAGTTGTTTGGGTCATCCTTTTTTCCCTTCTTGAAGATTGGGACCACATTGGCCCTCCTCCAATCTGCTGGAACTTCTCCCGTTCTCCAAGAACTCTCAAAGATGGTTGCCAATGGTTCCGAAATGACTTCCGCTAGTTCCTTCAACTAGCGGAAGTCTGAGCTCAAATTTAACTATGGGCCCTTCCAGACATAGCTAAATCCTGGAAGGAACTGGGATATTAAATGTTAAATCACAGTTCCCTACATAATTTAGTGTTCACCCCTGATCCAAGCCCCATGCTTTCCCTGGGAGGGGTATGTGGCTATATGCCCCCCTGAGATTTACCTTCCACCTCCCCCCACCTTCTGACACATCATTTTCATGTGTCAGGAGAGCTCTCCATAGGGTGCTGCACTGCCAACAGTCCCCTCAGTAAGTTTGGATACCTCAGGTAAAACCGAGACAGGTCCCATGTTTTTGGCCTGTCTGAAAGAGCTTGATATCTAATATTGCAAGTGGACTTAAACCAAAAGGATGATCAGCTGTTGATATGCCCAGATGGAGAAAATAAGCTAAATAGTGACAAAAGCTGATAGGAAGAAAACCAGAAAGCTGTTAGGAAAAAAATCAAGTCAGCTGAAATGTCGTACTGGAGGAGAGTTCTATGAATATCATGGATCACACATTAACGTAAAAATATAAAATGAATAATAGAAATGGAGAAAAACAGTACTGTGCAGTGCTAACTTCTGTCATGCTTTTACTATCAAGTTCACCCACACAAAAACATGTTTAATGTATTTATAATGGTAGAATGAATAACATATGTTTTGACAGAATGAACATATCCCAACATTGCAACATACCTTAAGAACATCTGCTTGTGCTAAATGAAACGTTCTGGCAGAAATATTGATTCCCTTCCCTGCTTGTACTTGAATGCTGTAAATACATTCATGGTTGTTTTCATAGTTGAGTGGGTAATTAGGGGACAACAAAATGCCTTCATTACTTGTTGCAGAAGCCCCACATTCCGCTGCAAGTAAAACAGAATTTGAGGTATAGCTCAATTGAGAACATCAATTATTTCAGTAATGGTAAATATGGGAGTGCAAATACAATCAAATACTATATCATTGACATATGTGGCTCTCTAGAGGAGAGCAGTTATACAAATCAATTTGTAATTGCGAGTCACTACACTATTTTGTTAAACAAACACACATAACTGCTCCTATGCAGTCTTCCCATACAAACATATACTATTATGAATCCATTTTGAAAATCATCATGTTTATTTATTATACTACAGTAAACTGATAATTTTAGTGATTATGCAGCATTAATAACAGTAATTATTTAAATATCAGTTCTCAAATATCAATTCTCAACTGTTTTGGCTTTAGCTGCTTTTCTATGTTTCCAACTATTTGAGAAAACAAGGAAATAAACTCAAGCAATAATACTTGAGAAATAATAAATCATCTTCATTGCTGATTCAATAAAATGAAGCACAGTTGTGGATGGCATATATAACAATGTGAAAGGATGAGTTACCGTTCCAAACTGATGAACATAATCAAAGTGAAAAATAATCAAATATCTAAATAAAATGAAACAAGTTTCAGTCTAGAACTACACTAAAATAGAGTTAGGAATGTTTTATTAAATGTAATGAAACCACATTGAAGGAATCGAGCAACTGAGTATTATGTGCAGTATAACTCAAAGAAAGAATGGAGGAAGAGATGAAAATACTACGTTATGTCATTTTTAATGATCTTATTCTGCTGGCAGTCAGTAAAAAAGTTATAATGAACAAAGTTTCAGAATACTGGAATGTTCTTTTGCCCAAACTTATAACTAAGTTTAGAGTACAAGTAATGCATAATGGGTATTGTGGCAACAAGAAGCCATCTATAAAGAGTAATTTGATAGGACAATTTCACATTCAAAGGTTTTAAGTGAAAAAATTGCCAAAATTTCTTACACTATGCAACATAATTTTCGTTTCTGGGTTATAAATGTAATTTCCTAATTGATTCTCTCATAAAAACAAGGAAATGTTTTACTAAACTGAATTTTTTTGTTGCAGTCTGCCCATTGAAAAGTTAAAAATTGCATATTTTCATTCAGGAAGATTACAAACGAAGTGCCTGCACTGAAGGAAATAATCGTACTACCCTCAGCCACAAAAATGAAGTTTCTAGAGTACAGCAACTACTTTCAAAGCAAGTAGCACACAATTGAACAGGAAATAACACTTTCAAATCCAGATTTTTTTTTCAAATTTTGTTACATAGTCTTATTATCCCTGGTGCAACACAGAAAAGGAAACTCCCCTCCTACTGGTTTTTTGATGGTGGTAAAAAAAACACCTCTCTAAATGTAAACATGTTGAGTTCAGTTACCCCAATAAACACTCTACTGTTGTTACTACTATATTTACCACTATTTTTAATAATTGAAAACAATCTTATGTGGTGTTCATGTCAGTGTCACCTTGACTAGAAAAATTAAAGATACTGGTACTGCATTTTATATGTAAAGACATGAAAACAATGTATGGGATTTTGCCTGGGATATAGCTGTGAGGATTTAGCTACATTTCATCTCCCTGCCCTCCCCCCCCCTCTAAAACCCACCTTAAAAGCCAGGCAGCTGCACCAACACAAGGAGTTCTGCATTACTGCTAAACGAGATGTTGAATGATGACATATTCAACCCTCTCTCATCAGTGAAACATTGTGGTTAACAGTAGATTGCTTTGTAACTGTTTGTTGTTTTAGGGCTTGTAGTAGGAGGGAACTGTGTATACATAATCCTTCAACAACCGGCTTGCCAATGGTGCAGAACTCCTTTGGTTGGTGAAGATGTCCAGGTCTTAAAGGGTGTTTTAGGGAGCATTTGCAATTATGGCAGTTGTGTCATTATCATAACTGTGAATCCCAAAATTTATGAAGCTGTACATTTAGCTTAACAACAGTGTAAATGCAGAAGAGGATGTCTTTCTCCCTAATATGTCAATCCAGAAAACCACACTTGTTTGGTAGCTAAGAACATATTGGACATTAATTCTGTGGGATGGGGTGAGCACTTGGGAGGGTGAGGGTGGTGAGCAGGGGAGTGGGCAGGGGGGCCAAGAGGGCAGGGAGTGAGCAGGCGGTGAGCCCAGTGAGGTTGAGCCCAGGGGTGGCAAGCTCAAGGTGGGCAAACAGGGAAGGCAAGTGAGCAAGCAGGGGGTGCATGAAAGCAGGAGAATGGGGGGGGGGGTGAGCAGAGGGTAGGCAAATGGGGTGGGTGGGCGAGAGGGGCAGGTGAGAGGGGCAGACAGACAAGTGGGGGGCCAGATGGTAAGAGGGAAGACAGGCAGATGACCACCTGCATGCCATAGTTTCACCACCACTGGCATATGACAAATTACATTTCCATTCCTTATTTCCATTGTGCTGATACATAATTACAGAATGTTCTAAGATACTTGGGCAGCTGTACACATTGCTGGCAATTTGCATAATCATGTAGATCTATCTATCTATCTATCTATCTATCTATCTATCTATCTAATTAGGTTTTTCAGATAGTCATGTAGTTCTTTTATTAAATGAACTTTAGTGACCCCATCCAGACCACTGAGATAGGTGTGACTGCTTTCATGAGCTGTACCCCCACCTTCATGATGCTCACCACTAGTCCTGTGGTAGTCACAACAAGATTTCAAAGCATTAACAGCCAGGAATTTAAAGATTTCTATACATTGTTCGAAAAAGCAGTCAGATAACTGAACTCATCACTACAACCACATTTGCTCACACGCATAGTTGCAGTTACTAATAAAGAATAATTCTATGATTAGAGCTCACATATTATGGAAATATAAATAGATGGGGTCATTGTTTACCTGCAGATTGTGAGCATTTATATAATCCTAGAAGTTACCTGCACGTATAACTAGAAGGGCAATGCTAAAAAGCTACTTTGGAGTTGCTCAGCATCATCGTATGCTTCACCTAACAATTTCATCTTTGATTCAGAAGAACTGTGAAACCTTAATGGCCAGGTCAATGTCCTACATGAGTTCCAGGTGGGCTAGAGAACATTTCTTATAATGATTTCCAAATCACTGAAAATTCAAGGAGTCTTTAGTATGCAAGTTAACTTGAAACACTTTGTTCTAGACACTACTAATCTGATGGGTTATGTTCAGTTTATTTTACCAACAAATCCCATACACCTGAACACTCCCAATCAGAAAGCAACAGATTTGTGCTGCCAAACATAAAACTAATATATTGATATACTGGGAGACATATATACTCAGGAGAATTTTAGTCTAAACTCAATTCTTCATGCAGATGATGTTTCTACAAATAAAACATAATTCTGTCTGAACATATAATGCAAAAATCAACATTAGACATCTGTGTAGGGAACCAAAACATCTCACAAATTAAGATGAAAAGACATGGGAGATGTAAGGGCTATATTGTATCAAAATTAATAGGCATGTTATCATGCTTATCCATGCGGTATAGTTGAAACTCCATGGACAATGACTACACATACAAGCAAATGAAAGCAGCTGACCACGTACCCACACACCTGGGCAGAGGTGCACTCCACACTCTTCGGCCGCCTCCAAGACAGATAATCTCTGACACCCCCTCTAAGCGATATCCAGATGAACAGGAAAAGATTAGAGTGTCTCCTACTCCAAAGTTAGATCCTATTCTGCTCCCAAATTGAGGAGTTCCAGGATCCTCACAGGGCTCAAGATTATATTCTGAAATTGAAAAAGACAAATAAAAAATCTTCACAATTGCTTTAAAGGTTTTTTTTTTTACCACCTTGCCTTATGCTTTATTGCAAAGAATATATTTTTATCTGAGCATCAATTTAACCTTCAAATAAATTGTCAGAACAAATGCTCATATAAGTAAATAGGCAATTCAGTATCAATTTAGAAGCTGTGCCAATAAATGTCCATAGCATTTCTGAGAGGAGTATGAACAATTCCTATAAGGGCAATAAATGTATCTGAGTCTGAAACATAAAATCAACCAAAATAACTGTACAGCATAAAAGCATGACCATTTTTCTCAAGGTCTGATTTAGAACATCACTTTTTGAAATTAGACTTGAAATCTCTCTGAAGCAGCATAATTTTCTAAGCCAATAATGTTCTGTACAATTTATTAGGATTTTCTTAAGCCACATTTTTTCTGACCTACCAAATCCACAATCAACAAGCTAATATTTGCCTTATGTAAGTGACAACAAAAGCCATTCTAAAGGCAAGTATCTGTCAGAATAAACATTCACCTCAGATCTCTCACTCACAACAGCACTGTCTTATAAAACAGTTTTTTCTTCAATTTATACGGATTGGACATTTTGTTCCCTTACCCGAGAAGGTAATATTAAATCCTTCATATGATATTGAAAAGTCAGAAATAAAGCGCAACTGAGCCCTGAAATTTCCATAGAGACCAGCATTGATTGCTGATGGAAGTTCAGAGCCAGTCAGGCGTGCCAACGGCTGAGTAAAACTGCGATTTTCTGTGATTAGTAAGTAGTCATGATGATCTTCCAAATGAAAGGTGTGAAAAGTGAACTGCACTCCTATTAGAAAAAAAGATATATAATTAGACTCACATATCACATAGTTAACATGAAAGCAAATATATCACTGATTAAACTCGTACATTCCACTACAAACACAAGCTTGGAAATTTAAACAAGATTTACATTGCTTTTGCCATAAGATCCCCAGCTTCCCCCATCTACCCTTTATAAAAAAGAAAAGCATTTTTTTTCAGTAATGAAAAATTACCCCCTGACACACAGACAAAAAACAAAATAAAAACAAAATAAAAAGCTTTTATTCTAAATCTTGGGACATGGGTGAGAGTAAGAAGATTCCATAAATTCCAGGTATTACTACTCATTTAACAACTACAATGTTATGTTTTAGCTCTCAGGAATATTTTTGTATATATCACTATAACTAAAATTGTTTTTTTTTTCTTTATGGTTCACCCAGTGTCGTGTGAGTATATAATTCAAGATAACTTAATAGTGAAATGCACTCCAGATTTTGTTTTAAGTTATAACTTGTAAGCAAAAGCAAAATTATTAGGACAAATGATGACCAGAATGAATTTATTACATACTAATAGATACCCATGAATATTAGATACCTATGAATGATGATGATGTCTTGAGGGTCTTTGCTCAGTTTTAACCGAGACAGAGGATTTCAAGAGAACCACCCAGATACACATTTCCACCCAAAGTTCACTTTGTTGAAATAATTGATTTTCAATCTTCTTTTCGTCATGTGTCTTCAAGTTATTTCTGACTTATGTTGACCTTAAAGCAAACCTTGGCAAGATTTGATCAGATGGGTTTGCTACTGCCATCCTTCAAGGCTGAATGTGACTCCCTAAAATACCCCCATGTGTATTCAAACATTGCTTTCCCAACAGTTCAAATCTGGCACTCTATTACACGACAATGGTTCTCTATTCTCACTCTTACCCTGCACCAAATCTCAATCTAGCCATGTTTAATGTGACAGAAATTTTGAAGAGACAGCAAAATGCAGCAAATTGAACACCAGAAGCCAGCCAACCTGAAAGATTGTGTGTGTGTGTGTGGGGGGGGGGGGGGGGGGGGGGGGGGGGATGTATATATCAGGGCATAGTCATAACATTGTACACAGTCTGAAAATCCTGGATACAGAGATATTTATAAGAATACTAAATTGACTCAATTTATCTATGTGTGTATATGCACCTTTAAGTTGCCTGTTGACTTATGGCAACCCCATGAATTTATTAGTTTTATTAGGCATTAATCAACAGCACCTGGTATCCATTGGTGGTCTCCTATCCACTAACTAGGTCTGACCCTACCTAGCTTCCAAGACAGGGCTTGGGACTTTTGGGGTAGGTAGGCTCAAAACTTCTTAGGATGTTGTAAGTTGAAATAAGCATGTTTAGCTGTGTCAAAAAAAAAAAACAATCTAGACCCATGTACTTAACAAGATCTACAAATGGTACTCCTATCGAGACTAGCTCAATATCGTGAACTGTATTGGTTTAAAATGAGGAGATAATTCACAAGACAAATACTGTAATATTGAAATATTTTAGTCAGAAATAATTTACAACACTGGCGTGTATAAACAAAAAAACTGTTTGCACCCAGCATTACAGTCTGAGATTTCTGCTGAGTCAATGCTGCCCCATGCTAGCACATCTCTGCACCTATTCCAACCTCTGTGCGTGAAATGGGTTTTTGGTACTGTCTGGAATTGTGAATTTGATATCATAGATCATTTGTTTGACTATAATAAACAACTTTACTGTTTCTCTCTTTACAAATTTTGAGTACAAATGTAACATAGTAAGAAATTGTCCCTGATGGATCACAAAGATTTATGAAATGTGAAAGAGAGGTGAGTTGGCAGCACTAAAATGAAGTAGAAAGCATCATGGTTATGTACAATATAGGTAAATTCTGTACCTTTTCCATGAGTAACATCCACAGTCCATGTGCAGTTGAGTGAATTGGGATAGAGTTCAGGGTAACCTGGAGATAAAATAGTTCCACTTGGTCCTCTCACATCTCCTCCACACAAAGCTGAGAATCAGGAAAAAAATGCAGCCATATAAAAATAGCAAGGCGTAGGGACTCAACATTAAATATGCAAGTTGAAAATAGTTTGGTGTGCTTAAACAATAGTCCACACACAGGAGTGTTTACAGTTCCATTGGGGAAATATATATATCTGTAATTCTAGCAGATGTTTACTCATAGTGCTTATAAAGAAAATGCAGTTAATTAATTCTTGAGAAGCTTGGCTAATAAATATTATGAAACAGAGATGCTAGTTATACTAGTCCATTTCAAAGAGCTCTTAAGGAAAGTTAGTTTGCAAAAATAAATAAAAAATATTATTATTATTACATTTTGAATGTAAACATTCTGGGCAATACTTTCATGGCATAGCCCACACTACTAACCAATGTTGAGAGATTTGGAAAGGATCAAAAGTTGTGTATGCATGCATGTATATACATGTATGTTCATTCAACAAACCAGAATGTTTTGTAAACATTTTTTGCAAAATCAAATTGTAATATTGTAAATTATGAATTTATGGTAAGTGACCAGCCTTCTATGTTGTGAGCATTACAGATGATCAGTTCACAGAGTTAAGTGACAACAATAAACTCAGATATTTCACGTCTGTCAATAGCTATCATTTAGATGAAAATGCCCTGCCTGACTTACTGGGCAAGGGTATTATAGTGGTGGGCATGCTCCTATTCACCATTGTGCCAGGGAAGCTCCTTCTTCCCAGGAGCCCCCTGCGGCAGGCACACTTTGCGCACAGTGGCCAGCCAGTTAATCACTAGCAGGTCCCACCCTGCCCCCTCATTGGCCAAGCCAGCTGATATACTGAACCACTTGCAGCCTACTTAAGGCTGGACCACTCCCCAGCCAGTGCTCCTTCAGCTGTCCCATACCCCCCTCAGAACCGTTTACATTTTTTGTGGTTATGTTAAGAGTTTTGATCTTTGTCACAACTTGCTGGTGTTTGGCATGAATTCTGGATATGACTTGTGTAACTCCCCCTCCCCATTGGAGAAGGAGCGTCTAGTGGCTTAATAGGAGTACAGTGGTAATGGTGTCCTGATATTGCGCCAGCTGGTAGACAGCTGCACCACCTGGTGTAGTTAAGTGGCATCGGTCAGCAGTGGGCTGTCCAGTTCCTGATCCAAGACCCATGCATGGCAGCCAACTACGGTTATCATTTGAAACCAATAAGCAAGTTGTGACCTTTTGTCATTCTTGGGTTCTGTGGTGGGAGGAGGGTGGTCACCAATGCCTATGCAATTAGCATTTGTATTTGAAGGCCTGTTATTCTTCCCCAAGTTATAGGCCAGAATGACACTGTTCAAGAAAAAGACTGTGTTAGCGCCACTTGGGCTCTGTGTTGCAGATACACCGATAGTATCTGAGCAATAAAGATGTTAAGTCAGAAATGTGTCATTTTCATGACATTTGAATGCCAAAAAGGTTCTTTGAAAAATATAAGTATGTTATATGAGTATGCATTATTTAAGATAATTGAGACAAGACATATTAGGACATTATATATATATATATTATATATATATAATATTAATACCGTGAATACTATGAAGTACTGTGATACCCAATTGCACCAAACTGAACCCAGTCCAGTGTAAGTTAACTTAAAGTAATCTAATCTTCATGTCATTTGTTCATGCCCAACAATGACTGGGCTCTCTGATGAGTAACTTCTAACTAGCATATCTGAAAGTTGATTCATAAATCAAATCCCAACTGGGCATCTAAAGAAAAAGAAAGGTAAACCAAAAAATAACCCCATACTGCAATCCCATCTACCTTCCTGTAGGTGTACAAACCAGTCAATCATCATCATCATCATCATCATCATCATCATCTTTATTTATAACTTGTCCTATCTTCCCGGCGGGAGTAGGGACTGAGGGTAGTTTCCAACAAAAGATGACAAACATTCAAGGGTATCCCTCTGGGCAGCTAAACCAGAAAATCCCAACTGGATGGTCCCCCACAAGGGTCTTTTTCCAGGGGCAAACCAAGAATGGGTACACTTACTATGGTAGTAATGATAAATATATTATTGAAAAATGGAACCACAAGGCATGTCATAATCACTATATGAATCATAATTGTGCTTTCAGTGTCTTTACCATATTAATTAAATAGATTGTTGGATCTAAATTATGTTCTTTTTCCAGTGTTTGGTATACATATTTATGCCACTTTTCAGTATCCTAACTATTAGGCCTGGTTGATCAAGAAAAAATTTGGTTCTAAAATCGATTTGTAATTGGGGTGTTTTTTTGTTTCGATATTTAAAATAATTACAAAATTTTCCCAAAAAAAGTTTCGGTATTTATGAAATTTCGTAAATATTTACAAAACATTTTGTAAAGATGGCGGACCCCCGCGCATGCGCAAAAACACTTCCGAAGCTTCGTTATTGGGGCGGGGTCGATTCGTTAAGATAATAACGAAACGATTCGTTAAAGTGACGGGCGCGTTTGCGCATGCGCAAACACGACTTCCGAAACTTCGTTATTAAAACTTCGTTATTAAAACTTCGTTATTAAAACTTCGTTATTAAATATTTTGGGTTGGCAAAAGGAGCGCACTGGTTGGAACTACACAAATGATGAGCGAGCAGTGTATGTATGTAGCACTTTGTGTTGGCAAAAGGAGCGCACTGGTTGGAACTACACAAATGACAAACGCACACACAGCCACCGAAGACTCTTTTATTTTTTTAGAATATTTTTTGTATTTTTTTAAGAATAAAAGACAGGTATTTTTAGAAAATATTCAGAAATGGAAAATTAACCAAAAACTGGCCCTGATGTGGACCAAACACAGGCAGGAGACAGGGCAAATGAGAGCACACACCAACAGAAGAGTCTTTTCTTTTTTAGAATATTTTTTGTATTTTAAGAATAAAAGGCAGGTATTTTTAGAAAATATTCAGAAATGGAAAATTAACCAAAAATGGCCCTGATATGAAGCAAACACAGCCACGAGACAGGGCAAATGAGAGCACACACCAACAGAAGAGTCTTTTTTTTAAAAAATATTTTTTGTATTTTTTTAAGAATAAAAGACAGGTATTTTTAGAAAATATTCAGAAATGGAAATTAACCAAAAACTGGCCCTGATATGAAGCAAACACAGCCACGAGACAGGGCAAACGAGAGCACACACCAACAGAAGAGTCTTTTTTTTTAGAATATTTTTTGTATTTTTTTAAGAATAAAAGACAGGTATTTTTAGAAAATATTCAGAAATGGAAAATTAACCAAAAACTGGCCCTGATATGAAGCAAACACAGCCACGAGACAGGGCAAATGAGAGCACACACCAACAGAAGAGTCTTTTTTTTAGAATATTTTTTGTATTTTTTAAGAATAAAAGGCAGGTATTTTTAGAAAATATTCAGAAATGGAAAATTAACCAAAAAAAATGGCCCTGATGTAGAGCTAACAACACAGGCAGGAGACAGCAAATGAGAGCACACAGCAACAGAAGAGTCTTTTCTTTTTTAGAATATTTTTTGTATTTTTTAAGAATAATATTAAAATAATATTAAAAAATAATATTAAAAAATATTCAAAAATGGAAACTGAACCAAAAAATGGCCCTGATGTGGACCAAAACACAGGCAGGAGACAGCAAATGAGAGCACACAGCAACAGAAGAGTCTTTTCTTTTTTAGAATATTTTTTGTATTTTTTAAGAATAATATTAAAATAATATTAAAAAATAATATTAAAAAATATTCAAAAATGGAAACTGAACCAAAAAATGGCCCTGATGTGGACCAAACACAGGCAGGAGACAGCAAATGAGAGCACACAGCAACAGAAGAGTCTTTTCTTTTTTAGAATATTTTTTGTATTTTTTAAGAATAATATTAAAATAATATTAAAAAATAATATTAAAAAATATTCAAAAATGGAAACTGAACCAAAAAATGGCCCTGATGTGGACCAAACACAGGCAGGAGACAGCAAATGAGAGCACACAGCAACAGAAGAGTCTTTTCTTTTTTAGAATATTTTTTGTATTTTTTAAGAATAATATTAAAATAATATTAAAAAATAATATTAAAAAATATTAAAATGGAAAATTAACCAAAAAATGGCCCAAATGTGGACCAAACATAGGCAGGAGACAGCAAATGAGAGCACACACCAACAAAAGAGTCTTTTCTTTTTTAGAATATTTTTTAAGAATAATATTAAAATAATATTAAAAAATAATATTAAAAAATATTTAAAAATGGAAAATTAAGAAACAAATTCACAAAAACCGAAGTAATGAATCCAAAGCAAGGAATATAAGCAGCACTAAGCACAGCAGCAAGGAATGAATCCAAGGAATGAGCAAGGAATGAATCCAATCCAGTTGCTAGCCAAGCCAAGCCAACCCAATGCAAACCCTCCCGGACCTCTTCTCTCTCCCTCGCCCTCTGCAGCAATGAGCTCAGCTGTACGGCCGCGCGGAGCCGCTTTTAAAGGGCTCGCCGGCCAATCAAAAACAGCCACGGTGCACTGCTTGGGTGCTTGGGAGCGCCGGATTGGCTCCCAGGCACCAGCAGCCTCCATCCCATTAACGAAACGAGCGGAAGCTCGTTAAATCTATGGGGGTTGCCGGTTCGATATTTTTAAACCCTTCCGGGTTTGAAAATGTGTTTTGATATCGCTTCGTAAATGCAAAAATTAACGAATTAATAACGAATTACGAAATTAACGAACGAAACCGCACAGGCCTACTAACTATATATTCTACTAAATTAAATCATTTCAATGTAGAAATAAAATCAGTAATTTAGTTTTCAAACATGTTTGATTTCAGATTGCACCAACATATATTTTTGAATATTCACATTCATGTATATACATGCACAACTAAAACCAGCCTTATCATGGATTTATCCAAGATCATGGTTCAGTGAGTTTTGCCAATCTTTACAAAGACAGATGCTACTAGATGTGTGTGAGATGCCTACTACTGTTTGTTTGAGACTCTAA